GCCGGGTGTCCTGCCAAAGCACATTCCTCTGAGGTGGCTCACGCTGGGCTCCTTCCCGCCCCCGCCCCCACCCGCACCCCAAGGTAGACGGCCTGCCCTGCGTTCGTCCCAGGCCCTTTGCCCTTCCGCGGTCTGAGCGGGGCCAGCCCCTCAGGCTCCTGTGCCCAGGAAGGGGGCAGCGCCACCCCACAGACGCGTCCGTCGGAAGCACCTCGCCCCACCTCTGCACCCCACCAGCCGGGGCCCGCGTCCTGCAGACGTGGTGGAACTCGTGACGCTGCCCCGACGCCAGCCCGCCCTGTGCTGGGCCCCGGGGCAGCCTGAGGCCCGGGGGCGCAGCCGTGGCCGGCCGGGGCTGGCCCCGGCAGACATCTTGGGAGAAGGGAAGGAGGCAGCAGAAGGGGCGGGGAAGGAGAATGAAGCTGACTTGGGCCCGGCGGAGGCGCGAGGAAAAGGGGTGTAAGGAAGGCCTGGCGCCCCGGACCCTGCCAGGGCGTCAGCGGTGGGGGCGGGGAGGCGCGCCCGGGCCCGCGCCGCGGCCGCCCGGGGGACAGCTGCCCTCCCAGCGATTCCTGGAAGCCGCCGGCCGGCAGGGCGGAGGCCCGGCTCAGCTGACTTCCCTGAAGTCCCCTCCCCGCAGGGCCTCCCCGGGCTGTTGCTGGGCAGGTTTAGAGTTTGGCCAGAGCCTGAGAACCAATCGCAGGTGGGGAACGTAGCCACCGCCCCTCTCAGGGCTCCCCCAGCCCGAGCACCTCCTTTTTCTGGTAGCTCAGGGCTCCCTCACTGCTCCAGCCTCTGACCTTCCAGGATGTGGCTCCCCTGGGGCGCCCCTCCCCTCTCACTTTAAGGCCGGGATTAAGTGCAGCCCCTCTGGACCCTGCCCCTGGTCGCAGAGGTCGGGAAGGGGCCAGTGCCGGTCTTCAGGAAGGGGAAGCTGACCCTAAGCGACCCCCTTGCCAGCCCCTCTGAAAAGCCGTGTGGCCAGACACCTCCATGACCTCTGAGGCTCTCTGCAGGGACCTGGGGGAGGAAGCTGCCACCCAAGGCCAGGCCAGGCAGCGGAGGGAAGGGCTGGGGGACCCGGACCTGTGAGCTGGGGAGACAGAAACAGCCTGATGTGCACAGGCGACCCAGGGGCTGCAGGGCCCAGGGCGCCCCGTGCTGATGCTGGGGGAGGGGCCTGGTTGTGCCTCAGTGTGCCTGGGCGACAGTGGTGTGAGGTCTCGGAAGTGCAGCTGGGCATTAGTCCTCGCTCCTCCCCCTCGAGACTCCCCCCCCCCCAGCAATTACCAGCCCTATTAAGCTGTAACCTTCAGGCTAAATTTAGCTCCCAGACTTCCCCAGCCCCGTCGCCCGCTCTCCGCACCCAGTGCTCCGTGGACTGCGGCGCGGGCACGCAGCGTCGGGACGTCATCTGCGTGTCCAAACTGGGGCCCGAGTTCAACGTGACCGCCCCCGGCAACTGCTCCCACCTGCCCCGGCCCCCTGCCCTGCAGCCCTGTCAGGGCCAGGACTGCCAGGACCGGTGGTTTTCTACACCCTGGAGCCCGGTGAGGCCCGGGCCCTTGCCCTGCTGGGCGGGGCTCCCCCAGGAGGGGGCTCCTCTCCGCGGTGCCAGCCCCTGCCCCCACACCCCAGCCCAGGATCAGTCGGGCTGGTTCAGCATTGTCCTGCTCCCTGTAGACTTGAGAACTGATGGGCCCTGCCCTCTGGGGCTTCGCGATGCGCCCCACCCCGCTCCCCACCCTGTCCTGCCCGAGAAGGCAGCGCCTGGGAATCAGGAGCCCGGCCGTCAGTTCTGACCGACAGCTGGGGTCTCCCCAGTGTTCTCGCTCCTGCGAGGGGGGTGTGCAGACGAGGGAGGTCCAGTGCCTGACTGCCAACCAGACCCTCAGCATCCGATGCCCCACCCACCGGCGGCCCTCCAGGAAACGACCCTGCAACAGCCAGCCCTGCAGCCAGCGCCCTGGTAAAGAGCCCCTCTCCCCAAGCTCCGAGAGGGGAGTCAGCCGAGTGTGGGTGGAGGTGAGGGAGGGCCGGTGGGAGTGGGCAGCTCACCTCCAGAGGGGTGACCCTGGTGACCAGGCCCGCTGTTCCCAGATGATCAGTGCAAGGACGACTCTCCACACTGCCCCCTGGTGGTGCAGGCGCGGCTCTGCGTCTACCCCTACTACACGGCCACCTGCTGCCGCTCCTGCGCCCACGTCCTGGAGCGGTCTCCCCCCGAGCCCGCCTGAAAGGGGCCCGGGGACCCTGTCCTCGTGGTTTTTCATCAGTCACCCATTGACCTGCCACTCTGTACCCTCCGGGTGTCCTGCCTGTACTAGTCTCACCGGGGACTTCCCCCAGGGTGGCTGGAGTGGTGAGACGACTGAAGCTGTGCAGGCGCCACAAGCCGCTTCTCAAAATGAACAGACCGAGGGGGTGGGAGCGGCTGGTGCCTCTTGCCCTGGGACTTTCCTAGGAAAGCACGTTCAGAGTCCCCCAGTAATCCGGGGCCACGCCCAGGCCCCCGACTGTCCCCCAAACCTAACTTTTCCCAAATTCTGGCCCCCCGTCTTCCAACCCGGCCTTTCGTCGGCTCGCCGTCCCGGCCCCCAGCCCTGCTCTCGCAGTTGGCCAGGGTGGGCATCCCCGCCCCCCCAGAAGAGACTACTTCCTCCCCCAGGGCAGGGACCAGCTGGGCAGAGCGGAAGAGAAACGCTAGCAGGAGACACCCCAGCCCTTGCCCTGCTCCCCACCTCCCAAAATACGTCCCACCCCAGAACTAATTTATTTTTTATTAAAGACGATTATGACAAATGAGAAACAGGCTCTTCATTGTCCTCGAAGGAACC